CCCCATATTTAATGTTTGTTCTGCCCTTAAAACCACTAAACTAGAAAATGCCATCAACAGAGTCTCTTCCCTTGTCTATTAGTTGTCCTTTCCACAGAGAATTTCTGAAGTCTATACTTTTTATTATGTCCCTTAATATCTTCTTATATATATGAGCACTCTATTCCAAAAATACTCTGGCAAGACAGTATAACTGTACAACTTATTTGTTAAAACTCACTTCAAAAGTCAAGAATATAACTAACGGGCTAGCTCACTTTTCAGATAACCTCTGACTACCAGGCAATACCACGGTGGCACATGTTGTCAATAGGTTACACCGAACACGTTAACTGATGATAGTCTCACCCTACTACCAGGGCTCTATCTAAAACAATTACACTAAACAGCTGGGGGTTTGAAACTTGAAAAATAATGAAAACCTGCCTATTTTACAGTGTGACTACAAGGTAAGCACCTAACTTGTTCTGCATTCTCTTCTCAAACTAAGTACAAATTTAGACAGAAATAAGAGTGTCAGAAAAATCCACACAAGTTTTAGGAGAAACACACCAGTAAGATAGAAGGATGATTCTAATACCAAAAGTAACACAACTGAGGAATCAGAATTATCTCAACAGTTGCTTTTCTGAGAAGTGACTGATTAGGGTTAGTAATATTTTGCAATTGTGTTTTGGTACTTTTGTTCTTCAGCAAAACCAAGGAAACTATGAAGCAAGGAGATGCTTGTGTACATTTTCAACCTCGTGAAGTAAAAATTACTGCTAGAGCATGCAACCAGTAGCAATAATAAAATGCATTTCCTTTCCCAGTTCAGGTATTTGTAAAATTTGTGCATTGCAGTATTAGACTTTGATTTAATTTAAAAAGCTGTATTTATTGTCCAAATCAAAGGACATGTTTAGTTGCAATCGCTGGAATGGGGATTTTTTCAACCAGTCTCACCTAGCAGTGTAAGGCGGCTATGCCTATCCAAACTGCAACAAGCTATCCCATGGCACACCCTAAAAATCACACCCTGAGAACATTTCATGATTCTCCATAATCTAGATGAGGAATCTGAGCAACCATAGGTGAACTACCTCTACTAATGGAATGAACGTCCACATTCACTTTCCTTTACACTGGAGGTCAGGGAGGGGAAATGGTGAGCCTCAGTGAACTTAATTCACTAAAAAACACCAGGAAAAAACTCCAGGCTCACTACAGCACCAGAAAATGATGACTGACTTGAGTGGTACAGGAGGAGAGTTGCCATCCCGCAGACGGTCACTTGCCCCCTGACCTCAGGCCCCTTTCACAAGCTGGAAGCAATTACAACGCCAGACCGCGACTCACTCCGTACTGCCGTCTCCGCAGTGACTTCTCCCACCTGAAAAGGTGATGCAATTCTTGCAGAGAATTGTTCACTTCTTCAGAGATGTTTGTTGTTAAGACACTTCCACATGGGCAAATTAGATGCAGCTCATTACCTCGCTATCTCCTTTCTCATCTGCTAAGCTAATTGCTACATCTTGAACTCAGAGTGCCATGGGAGTCTTCTATAAAATACACCCTCACATTGCTCTTTTATATACTCCAGGAGAAAAGTCTGCAAAGTTAGGTTGCACTTGCTGGGAATAATACTGTATTAATTTATAACCATATTCAGAAATGTAGTATTTTGTCTTTCTATCAACACCAAAATCTACACATTACAGCAGAAATTTTGTATACTCGTATCCTTAAGGGACGAGTGGAAAGATAAATGTATTTCAAAAAGAAACATTTTGATGCTAAAATACTGATAATCACATTCAGGTTAAAGAGATTTCTGATTAGTTTTTTAAAATTACGTAGCCACCTAAAAAGCCCTTCTAAAGTAGCCAGCATGATTTCCTGGACTTGGTCTACCTCCCTGTTGCTTCCCCCCATAAATTTTAAAATTGCGCTAGTCATACATACAGAAGTAAAATTCCTCCATAAGACCCCCCCTGCCCCTTTTTCCTGTTAATGTTCCTGAAGAGAGAAAAATTCATGCTTGTGCTTAGTGAACAGAAACAATCCGTGCTTAAAAAAATCTGCGCCAACGTTTACTTTGGTATGTAGTAACTTGAATCCTAGAAACCATGGTGTGGTGGGGAGAGATTCTGCAGTGCTACGAAGAACCAGGATCCATGTTCCAGTGATCCTTGTGCCCCACAATATCACACCCTCTCTTGTAAGTAGCTTATCAGGTAAGAGCATATACCAAAAATCACTGAGAAGTACAAAAATCACAAAACGAGTGTACCGGTACCATGTCACCGTCATTGTACGTCAACCTGTTTCTTACAGGAAGCTGTGAGACCCTATGACAGCAAAGTGCTTTGCAACACAGGCTTTATGTATCAAGAAGAGGTGCTTCTGCCTCATACAATGCATTCCTGCATTTGTAGTTACCCTCAGCATACGAAGTGTCTGACTAGTCTCAACATCTTGACGGCAATAGTACTGGAAACACAGAAATAGCTATAAGGACCGTGCTTCATATCAACACGCTGCATGAGAATCCAAGCTCCAAAGCACCATGAGTTGATGCCTCAGCCGGTTCCACAGCTAAGGAAAGCAGAACTGGAAGGACAGTAACACGTGAGAAAACTTGTGGTCGAGTGTACCACCAAGAGGCAGAAAAAGCAAAACTGAGTGAGGCAAGTTAGAACAAAAGAGCAGCAGCAGCAGGCAAAGTATCTGGGAAACCCTGGAATGAAGCGCAATGTGGGGCCTGCCTTCGGTACACAGTCTTCATCACCTTTAACTTCTGGATTTTAACTCTGCACTAGGGGTGAAATCCAGCGTGCGCAGCAGCAGGAAGATTAAAATCCATGGAACTGTTATTAACACCAAAACACAATAAACAGGGTAAAACACAGCTCAACAACAACCAACTCCACATTTTAAAAATCTCACAGCTTCTATGCAGGACTTGGTTCTCCAGGAAGTGGTCATATTTCAAAAAACAGAGCACCCTTTAGATTCAAAAAAAGGAACTGTTGCCAGCTGAGCACCTCTGACAATCTGGCCATTTCATGGCAATGTGTAGATGAAAACAACTTAAGTCTTAAAATTACTTATATTTTCCATCCCTATGGCCCTGTGTTGGCAGTAGCTGCTATACTGATTTAAGGGTCTTTGATATTTGAAAAAAAAGTGATTTTTTTTTTTTTTTTAATCTGGTCTACATCAGGCTTTAAAGCCTTGAGTTGTGTGTTTCATGTGAGAGGATTTAATGCTGTGTGGCTTTTAAAATTTAGGGAGTCTGATCATAGTGGATGTTATCACACAGTCCCTTTGTAGGGGAATGAAGTTACTCTATGCCAAGCAGTACATAACTGTCTGAAATCTAAATGGCATCAGTGAAATGAAAGGATAACGAGCTCTTCATTATTCTCAGGTAACATATTGAGAGTGGCAAAAATGGGAGTTCTCACTACACTTTTATTTTTCCCCATTTGTGCTTTATAAATGGCAGATGTTTATGTTTTTTTCTAAGTTTCAGCAGCAGACAGGACTCTCAGGTCTTTTCCAGAAAAAAAACCCTTTCTATTCACTTTTTTCCCCTGTTATCTAATAAAAGGAAGATTTTCCAAATGCTCTAACTTTTCAGGAGGGGAACTGAGATTCAGAGGGCAAGAGCCTGGTAACAATTTATTATTTCTCTCTTTCATCTCAGAAATAACCAAATCTGTGCAGTTCTCTTCCTGGGAGCTTAATAAAGGCCCCAGAAATAACTCGGAAGCAGCAGAAGCGACTACTACAGGATTTTTGAAGGGGTCTGTGTGCCCTCTGCTGGCATCCCCAGCACAGCTCTGGACTATTTATTTGAGGGAAGAAAACTCAGTCCTACAGCTATATAAACATGCCAGTATTTTCAGATATTCTGTATTTTGTCTGAAGAGTATTTCTTACAGTTTTTATGAGTATTTAGCTGTTTCTGTGGCCCAGTAATCTTACATCTCAACAGATTAAGTATTTTCCTTATCTCCCACAGAATACTTTATTAATTAGGCCAACCCAGCACACAGGGACCTAGAAATAACATTTATCCACATAAACAGAATGTTTTGGCAGCACCTCCTGGTTACAGTGAAAAGGTAACATTCTGTCTCAGTTCTCCCTTCTGTCCCCTTTGCACCAGTTAAAAAGAACACATATGACAGTTTCAAACGTCCCCTGAAGGACTAAATCTTGAAGGGGAAGAGTCTGGAGAGGACAACATTAATTCAAATTTTTGAGGATGTCCTTCCAAGCAATGACATAGGGCATTCAGAGGGTCAGGCTGAGAGCAGACACTGCTCATAAATTAACATAAAGCTCTTCGCAGCCCCTCCTTTGCTCAAGATCATGTCTAACATTTTATCTCGTGATAGAAGGTAAAAACATCAGTAACATGAGCTGGAAGTAACCGCTGTCTCCCTGAAGTTGTAAATCATGTGAACAACAGACCAAGTCCAGCAGCTCCTCTGGCAGCACTGACTTCAGGGCATCACAGTTCGTACAGGACCGCGGTACGGCCGTTGGAGACACAAGGCTCCCGCTTTGGCAGAGCCCAAGGTTGAACGTACTGGTCAAGCACACAGTGTAGCTCAAGACTTAATACCGACTAGGTCTTTGAACATTTTTAACATGACCAGCTTGACCCAGCTTCTAACCATGCAATGCAGATGGACAGAAACTCATCAGTGAGATTATTCCTCAGAAATGGCAGGAAACTGAGAAAGAAACATCAACAAGCATCTGTGATGCAGTTGTGACAGTAAGCCACAAATAAGTCGTTGTTGTTTAAAAATTTATAAGTGGGAGAGCAGTGAGAAAAGTTAGGACTACCTAATCTGAAGAGAAGTACAGACTGGATTCATTTCATACAACAACTGTTGCAACGCATTGCTTCCTTTTGGCTTCAGATGTTCAAATATGAAAACACAGACACTTCCATCAGCACACAGTAATAAATCAATTATTTTATCAAGCAAAGCTTGTACCTGGTCTTCACTTGTTAAGCCAAGGTGCATCACAAAATAAAAATGAAGCAGGAAATCAGAATTTGGCAAAACATCTTGACGCCTAGTCATCATAGCACAGATTAGCCTGTATGCCTGAAGTTTGCCTTCCTTATATTCATTTGGCAGGGTGGTTGCCTGAAAAGAGCAAAAACCTTGTATTATTACTTTTTTTCCTAGTAGCCACCTAACGTAAAACCATCTTCAGCGGATTTTCCATAAAGCAATTCTGTTCCATGTATTTATTAAAATATATTCAAGTCCAAATAGCCTTTGGAGGGTATTTGCCATCTTCACCAGCTGTGACTGTACAAACTAGAAATAACACAACCAAACATACACAAATTTAGTACTGATATAGAAGAAAATATTAATGTGTGAAAATTTTAGAAATAACTTACCTTGAATAACCATGATGCAAATATTCTGAGAGGGGGAATTAAGACAGGAGGAGAGGGAGTAGACTGATTGTCCACACTTATAGCAAGGTTGTCCCGTATCTAACGTTTTTAAAAGAAGAGAGTTATTAAAACTAATAGCTTACTTCATTAGTATTCTTTAGTTCATGTTATTACTTTTTAATTTAATTTTACGTACATTAAGGCACTACACTCTGTGCTATACAGAGTTCCCACTTAAGCCAAAACTACCAGGAAAGCTTGTTCTATAGCGCTTCCCCATGGTCTTAGCAAATATTACCATTTTAGGTCATACCATGGGCTTTTACACTGAATACCAACATATGCAGTATTCTATTCTATACCTCTATTATTTTTATTACTGTTTCATCACCCCATTTAAATTCACTATTCTAAATTCTCTTGTCACTAAACAGGAACATTATCTATTGAGGATACCTACTGGAAATCAAACAAGATTAGCTTTCTTTGTGACGGAATCCTCCAAAACTCACGCTTATGTTCCAGATGTTAATACTAAATCAAATTTAATAATAATTCTTAACACGAAAGAAAAATAATTATCATTAGATGTAAGCATCATATACAATACCTTTGCAAGCTTATACCACAACTCATAAAGATACCCAAAAACTTTTGCGTGGATTTTTGGTGAGTGTATATTGTTCACATCTCCAAGAATTCCCAAGATCCTTCTCCATAACACAGCAGCAGAATCAGGATGCCAACCAATAAGGCTTCCACCAGCAATTATACTGCAGTCATCAGCAAGGAATTCACTACTGTCTGTAAATTTTAAAGAGTTCAATTTCCATGTATTAGAAATGCAGTGCAAGTATAAATTTGGTCAATAAAATAGGAACATTACTCCTAACCATCTTCCATCTCAAAAGTATTCTCTCCCACCGAATCATCTCTCTTTTTCTCTGCTCAGGCTAGCACATGAGTCAGAAAAAAAATGGCAGAAAATGTAGGCTAGAGGGCCTTCCAGATAGAAGTGACACTGCTATAGATCAGTTTTGCATCAGAGTGTCCCCACTCGAGGTTTTGGGTTTTTTTTAGCAGGGAGGCAAATGCAGTTAAATGGAACATTCATGTACTCAGAGAGATTGATTCAATCAATAACTGGCTTTTACAGGTTATATTTGTACTGCTAAAAGTTCTTTCTTTTATAAGATCAGTATAAAATGACCTGGAAGTGGAACTAAACAAAGGAACTAAAAAGTATGCACTACTAGTGATGAAGAATATGCTCAGGCATTATCACTGCTACAGAAGCAGTTCTTGAGATAGCAGTATGCAAACCAAGAAGGAAAGCAGGGGTTTGTGAAGCCTGTCAGGATAATAGAAATAATATGCTTAAAACAGTAAAAGCAACATTCCATACTGAAGTGCAAATTTCAACAAGAGCTGTTACATCATCTTCTACCAGACCAGGGAAAGTGGTGTAGCTGCCTGTCTGCAAGCAGAATCAGACCTATGGTCTGGCGCGGCTCGCTGCAGCGCTCAGCTGCCAATGTTTTGAGGAAAGCTTCAGGAAACTTTTACCCAGGCAGCAGGAAATAGCTTGTGTCCTCCCAGGACCCAAAGAAGATTAGCAAAAGAAAAGCAATTCTAGATGTTTTTATGTTTGCTTTAACGTATTTTTAAAAAACCTTTCGGAATTTTTATTTTGGCTTTGTGTTGTTGGTTGTAGCATTATAAGTTCACCAGGTGTTAAAAAAGATGTTATTAAGCACATTAGAATGATCTTCAACAGATCTATTGTCAGGGCAATTGCACCTATGCTCTTCAGTGGTGCCACCACAGTATTTTTTTTCCTTACACCATAGAGATTTCCACAGCAAAACAAAGTTTTGTGACTTGGGTGAGAACCAGAAATGCAGTAAGGGCACATTGGCTCTGTTGGGCAATTACACATTTGTTACCCCATTTTTCTTTTTAGCCTACATCACCTTTGCGGTTATTTCACTTAATTCTTTTTCTTCGTACACACAAAGGAGCAGTGTCTTGCATCACAGACATAAAGAAAGCAATGAACTTATCAAAGATAATAATGCTTACCATGTACTGTATTACATGCTACCTTTTGTACAATGACAGTCTGAACTGCTGAAGTAGGTGTGCTGGTTCATTAAATTAGAGATATTTAAAAAAAAAAGTGAATATGAAAAAAATATCTTTGAAACTATACCTGCTAGCAAAACCAGCCTATAAGATAGTTCCATGTGTTACTGCACTGTTACTGAAATAATATCTCTGACTCACATTATTAGATGGGAAGGTACCTTTACAAATTGCAAAGAATTAAAATATTTCAATAAATAATCATGAGTGTTGTATATGTTAAAGATACTATAAATAAAATGGTAAAGGACTTCTACATCCAAATTAACTCTTCTGAGAATGCCACTTACCGCACCTTACTGGAGTATAGGCATTGTGTACTTTAAAGTATAAATATGGAGGTTTACAGTATTAAGATGAGAGAAGTTATTATGGATTAATCAGTTATTTTCCAAGAGTCAAAATATATAGCAAGGAATTTCTTTAGACCATTCTGCTATGAAATAAAACCTATTAAGTTAAAATATAAATTTATTTATTTTACTTGAACAATGGGCAAGCTGACACAGCACAAGTGATCAGCTATCACATCTCAGTTGATTAGTATTAATTTGACACAGTAAGCAACCCAATGATTTTCAACTGTGTGATCATTTTCTGGATCACAATTCATCAGAACCTATGTCAGCTTCCGTGTGGTTATCCAAATTCCTTAAATGCTGACATCCAAATCCCATTTTCGAATGAACATTATGAACAAAACTTGGTGATAAATGCCAAGTGAAACATACTTTTTATAAGCAAACCAAACTGTATAAACTACTTTTTCAGATAAAAAAAAAAAAATCTGAAGTAGTAAATACATTTTCTGGACTACAATACCTGTTAAATTTGCAGTATCTGAAGGACTGAGCTGAAGCCAGCGAGGTGCATCGGGATCCACACAAACGTCTGCTGACGCATTAACTTCATGGTCTTCAGAAGCTTGCCAGGGGATAAGTGCGATCTCTACTTCATTATTGTAGCCAATGGATGTGTCACTGCTAACGCTTTCACCTAAAGCAAGAAGGGGGTTTATAAAGATCACAAACCTGTTTTAAAAGGCTACATTAGCAAAGCATGAGAACATCATCTACTATATGTGTAACAAGACAAAACTACAACACTGATTTCAGTTGCTACACTTAAGAAAAATACTGTATTTCTTGGAACTCACTTTTTTCTCTCTCTCTGTAATTTCCATGTGATTGATGCAAGTCTGCTTTCAAATCTAATTCAGCTGTACTACTGCTTCTTCGTACTAGTACCTTCAGAAAAAAAAAATAATCTCTGCTTATTACAGTTTTGAGAACTACATAATATTTTAGCAAATTTGAGATACGCAACTATTAGAAATTAATTACAACTCAGTCAAGATATCTTCGTTAATGTTTAGACTACCTAAATATCTTTAAATGTGTTAAGGAAACCATCATACTTTCAGTTTCTGTCTTTATCCTCCCTTAAACTCAGTTTTCATACCAACAAGCCAGACTTCTTACTTACTATTTTCCACAAATCTAAAACCATCCAATACTTTTTAAAGTATCCAAAAAAATCTTTCAGGACAACATCAGTAGTCATCTCTTATGTCGGGGCATTATTCTATTGCAAAACTACCCAAGCAAAGGCACCTGAACTTTTGTTTACCTCCTCCTTCTTCACCAAATGGATTTATAGCCTACTTGGCTGAAAACCCTTCAGACAACTTTCTGCTTCTAGATGATACTGCTCCATCCCTAAACATGACTGTTTTTTTTTTTACATCTGTCAGATCACCTTCAAATTCACTTTTCTTGCAACTCCACGTCATCTGTACTATCAAAATTTAATCTCTGCCAGAAAAACAGAGTATCACGTTTTCCATTGCAAATTTGTAACAAAAAGCCCCAATGCCTTACCTCTAGGAGCATACTAGATCTAACTGCTGAAAGAATCTCTACTCTCAAACTCCTCAATTCAGTTAACATTTCTGAAATTCCATTTTGATATTTACAATTATCAGTGTTACTGTTTTTAAATAAATTTCTTGAAGTGATTTCTGATACACTGGCTGGACATTAATCCATTTGTTCTTTCTGCATATATCTGAGAAAGCAAATTATTGCCAACAAAGAGACAACTGGCTTGTAGAAATTATTATTATCTAACAAGGTAGCTTTTTTTTCTTACCCCCCCCTCCAAACTGGAGAGAATTGACATTAATTCCTAAGAAATACATGTTTGCTTGTGCTGCCTGATAGACTGCAGTCCTCTGTTTTCCCTGGCGAATCCTGCTTTTGGTGAGCAGTGATGACAATATTTCAGTGGGTTGTGATATGAAGTCAGTCTGGTTCACGTGGTACATTAGCAAGTTATGCAGTGAATATATGGCCAAACTCCAGCGTCCACTTGCAAAAAGGGTGAAAGTGCAATACTGGTAGCAGCCTGGCAGCATATACTTGTGAATATTTTATAAAACATGCTACTAGAACAGAATGGGGAGCAGGTTAATTTTTAATGCCCCCAACTATAGCTTACTTCTCTCCCTCTCCCCTCCCTTCCACCCTGCAAAGCAAACTAGGTTTTCCTTCCTTTTTGAGACAGTTATTCCTGACGCAACTAATGAAAGCACTCTGCAGAAAATAGCTCTAGAAAGGACAGGAGACAAGTGTTAATGCTATTTTCAAGTCTAAATGTATGGGAGAGTCAAGGTCCAAAGGCGAAATTCAGCTTGAAGTCCTCCATGCTGTATTGCATTTTAGTTCCATAAAGATGATCAGCCTCAGTCATTTATTATTTCTACTGTTTATCCAAAAGTTGCATTAAAAATTTACAAAGCATGCCTGTCCTAATGTTAACTTATACAAACATCTGCAATACATAGCTGTGATACAAATTGTGCTGAAGGAAAGCATTTCCCCCAGTACTTTAAACCATCAAACATTTATTCCAGTGCACTGTAGCTCTATAACAGCCATGAAATATTTATATTTTAGAAGTTATGAACTTCTTGTTCATATTTAATATTTAAAAAGCACAAAAGTCTTATACAAGACTAGAATATAGCCAACTACATATAACTGCATAAGCAGCTGACAAGATCTCACATAGCACAACATACAGCTACAGCTCAATTCCAGATTCCATACTAAAAATGCGATGATTTTTCACATTATCAGTTGCTAGAGTTTCTAAATACTAAAAAGGCATCTGATTAGAAATAAAACATTGTTAGAATCTTATCAATAATCACTTTCTGTTTTGCCTTACTTGCTCAGCTTCATGTTCCTTCTTTGTATATCCCTTATTTTCCTGAACTGATTTGGAGTCTGAAGAAGTTAAATTATGAGAACTTCCAGCCTTTTTACCTAGAAATTTTAGAAAGTAAACAAGGAATGTCGACATTTGTGGGACCAGAGTACATAGCAAATCATAAGGAAATTTCAGTTACCTTTACATATATGCTTCTAATATTTGCAGCTAAGTGGAGTAATACAAGATTAAAATGGAATACAAGTTGTTTTGAGAAATGTTTCATAAGTGTAACATACTTACACTACAGGAACAGAGGTAGAACTGTTAGCCTGAATGCTCAAATTAAAATGCAAAACAGATAAAAAAAATGTTTAAGAGTTACATACAAAATGCATACATTCACAGGTTTCATTTACACTGCCCTGCTTTATAAAAGGTCATGTTCTGCATCTGTGGTCTGTAACTTCTTAAAAACAGTTCCTTCAACAAGATACCAACAATATATTTACTGAAAAATGAGACAGAAACCATTTTAGAACAGAATTGGAAACCAAATTAGCTCAAGAGCAGCATTTATGACGCTCAACACTTTTTCTTCAGAAGCACAGGAAAGCTGTATTTTATCAAAATTACCTTGAAAAAAATCAGATGGGAACTGATCTGTAATATCTGAAGTGCTGCTACTTCGAGTTATCTGCTGTTCTTGGTCTACATATAGGCCCGTAGCTTCTGTCCCTGTTGAATTTTCCAGCTGTTGAGATTCTTCAACTTCTGTTGATTTAATTGAAATACAAAGTATTTGCACGACCTCAGAATTATGCACACGTGTGAACTCCTAAGAAAGCTACATGAAAAAGTGATCCATTCAAATATTTTTAAATTCCCAAGTTACAAAGCTAGAATGTAACTCCTATTTATAGAAGTTATAATTCAAGTTTTATAAAATGTCTTTAGAAAAAATGTAAAGTTTAGAGAGAGATATATGAGCAGTTTAAGTGGTAAGAAGTCTAGAAAAAGGACAGAAATTACTTTGGAGGTTTGGAGTGCACAAAGAAGAGTGGGAGGATATCATGTGAACAAAGCTATGTTTTTTGGTGCTAGAGACAAATGCAGAGTGCAGAAAAGATGTCTGTGCTTACTGACATCTCCATAAAGAGGGGAGGGGGAGAATAAAAAAGGCAACAATTCAAACAGTAAAAAAGAGATCTGAGCTACATATGATTTGGGCTTAGTTTGCCAGGACAAACTGAATCATGCAGCTTTTTTGGTGTAACTGCAAATGAGAAATAAAAAGAAACGAGAGGCAGACATGAAAATTCAAGTGAGGAAGTCAATTTACACACTGGGGAAGGAGCAACAGGAACTCTTGAGGTGAGCTTGCAATACAGTGCTTTCAGAAATACATTTCTCTTAGCACTGGGTGGGGGGAAAGACAGTAACACTTGGATCAAGTATGATCCCGTTCAGTAGCGATGCTTTTAGATACAGCCATGACACTGATTCATGCCACCTACCATACTTAAGCGAATTGCTAACTCTTTCCCTGGAAAGCAGTCGAAGAGGTGGGCCACACAGCCCATCAGAGCTGGTGCAACAGAACCACCAGCAGGCTGTTCAATGTGTTCTATCTGCACAGCCAATGCTATTTCCGCCTTTTAAAAAGATTATTAAAAATGCTGCTGTAGCAACTCTTATGAGAGCCCTCAAACTTCTTTGTTTCACTGAAGAATATGGGCTGAATTAAGTCTTCTAGATTTCTTTCAGGATATTCTTACATAATACGCACATTAAATAAAAGTGACCTTTCCACCAGCTTTCCATTCTCCTCGGGTCTCCTTTCCTCTGCTCTGCAGGCACTGACACTGAGCCTGCACTTACACAGAGCAAGAAGTTGTGCCCCTCAGGATATGGGGCTGCAGACCAATACACACCGACTGCAGCAGCAGCCTGCAGGACGAAGGCTGTCTGCTTAGTTCATTCAGCCTACACTACCGAGTAAGTTTAAATAATACTTCAATACTTCCTAAACACTGTATGTATTCCAGAAAATTCTCACAAATACACATGTACAAAAACTAACTGTTCTGGTATTTACTGACCTCAGAGTATCACTGTTGACTCCTTAAATGTTTTACAGAAAGCAATAAAATAAAGTAAGAAATTACATTCCCTAGCTAGAACAATTTCAGTGTTATGACTGAAGATAACTTGAGATGAAAAAACACTAAAGATGTTTCACAGAACAGGAATCCCTAGAGAGCCATAATGTACCACATACAAAATTTAACTTGTCTTGCTATAGCAGCTAACGACTGTGGTCAGGGCTCAAGAGCCAGAAATCCCTCCAAGGAAGTGAAACGTGGGAGGTGACAAAGTCGTATTTTCAGACACTTACTTGCTGGAAACAAAATTAAAATAAAGTCTGCTAACGTGATAGAGAAATCTCACTGCTTCCACCAGCCCATCTTGGCTAGTTGACAGGATGAATGCCCTACACCAAAGTAGCTTTGTATTCTCAGGCTGTTATATCTGTTTTTCACATCTGTGTCTGGGTACCAGCACAGAATTCTGTTCAGAAGTTGTATGCTTAGGTTTTGTTCAAGGTTTATTTATCACAACAGCAAGTTCCATGGGACAAAACTGTATTGAAAGCAGGAAAAAAGTTTACTACACTTTTGAGCAAAAATACACACACTTGAGTCTAAATAACCCCTAAGATGCACTCATGTGGATTGCTGCCTTTAGTTTTTACTTTCCTAATCTTTAGTCTCTTTGGTCTGCACTATATTAAAACTTTAACGACTGTTTGGAAGCCTTTAATAAATCAAGTAATTGAAAGTATAAACATAAATAAAAGGATTTCTTTATTAAGAAATAGCTTCAGTTACTAGGGAATATTAATCTAATTGTAACTCATAGCAATCTAATATTCAAATTAATAAAAACTGCATTGATTGCAGTACTACAAACATTTTGAGAGAAATCAAACACTATCTGAGAACTAAGAGGCACAGATGAATCTTTTAGATTTGCTTCTGGAACCAATAATTACAGGAAGAATTCTTTAGAAGGAAAAAAAAAATCACATTTGTAAGCACTGATTTGTAACTGAGTGTAACAGACTGAACAAGATTTTTCTTTTAAACCAAGCAGCTCGACCAGTTGCATTTCTCTGACTTCATATTTTGCTTGCACTAGCTCATACATTCAAGCATTCAACTAGTTTCTACAGTAGTTCCTTGAAAAGATACTGCTCTCCTTTTCCCTGAAAAGGTTACTTATGTTGACAATGAACCCAGTGACAGAATAACAAAAAAAGCATTAGAAGTAGCCACTTTTTGTCGCCCTTTGTAACAAGGAAAAGGGACAAGATAAGCTCCCATTAAACTTGATCATCACTTAATGGCAACCAGTATTACTTAACACCATGTTTTGAACACATCTGAGACATGGGAAACAGAACTAGTGCAAAACATCTCATTCCACAGTACTAATCAACTGGACAGAAAGGGAGTAGACAGACAGCAGTTTAAAAATATAAAGAACATTTATATAAAAGATGACTTTAAAGTACAGTACCTGACAGTCTGTGAGAGCAAGAAGTGTAAGAGATACCAGGTAAGAGAGAGCTCACAGTGTGAAGCAGAAGAGGTACACTTTTAGTAGCTGGCAAACCCTCATAAAGATGAACACAGTTGCTGATAGACTGGCTTCGCTTAGCTTCCAGGAAAAAATAAAGCAATAATTATGTCAGAAAAAATAACGAAATACTTGGGGTTCTGAATGTCATGATACAACCAAACACAAAGCTTTTGGGGAAAAAACAAACAAAAAAGAACCACAACAGTTTTACATTAATCCCAGAAGTATTTCCTATAAGCTGGAGGTTAATAATGTGCAACTGTATGTTACACATTGAAAGTGCGGTAAATCAGTGATTTCTGCATGACAGCAGTTCTACAATGTGGAATTTTTCATTTTGTCAGTGTTTGATTCCTATGTTTGGGCTAATTCAACTTACCCTTTTTTATTTTAACTGAAGTATATGTAGCAGCACATACAGCTCAAAAATAAAGAATGGAAAACTTCATCAAATTCCCTTCTACTAGCAACAATCCCCCCTGGAAAAAGCCAGTAAGTTCATTCATCTCCGCTGAAAACAATCCATTTTCACCTGATAAGTGGGATAGTGTTCTTCTCCAAAACTGACCTAAAGATACAGCTGCCTCTGGTTTTGCTTTTAAAACTAGGGATCCCAGCTCCAGACTGGGTAAGGCCCTGAGCACCATGGGCTGATGGACAGCTGACCCTGCTTTGAGCACGAAGTTCCTTACACCCTGATGAAGCTCCTTACACCCTGATTTATCCTGTGGACTCTGGTTTTGGGGTACTGAGCCCTGCTTTCTGCATTTCTGAACAGGATGATGAAAGGGACTTAAGTTACGTGAAAGTTTTTGGAGCTGTTAAGTCCCCACAAAGGAAGGTAGAAGACAAGTGCAGTCTGAATGTGTATCTTACTGAATGTCTCTTCAAAATAGCAGCAGTTAAATGGGTCTACTGTTTCTTAGAAAAAGAAAGGCCACCAGAAAAACACTTTCCAAGGTGGCTAATGCTCTAGATGCTAACATTATTAAGAACTTGATATCTTATGGATTAATATCCAATTGTCATAAGCTTGAAGTCTCCTTTAGAGAAAAACAGCAATTTATCATCAGTCATATTACTAAAATTATGCTGCATTACAGAAGTCTCTAACAGATATTTATTGGAGAAAAAAAACCCCAAACCTCTTATTCACGGTACAGCTTCCCTTTTTGCATACCGCAAGGTCAATGCTGACACTAAGAAGAGTGAGGGGAGGAAGGAGGAAGCAAAAATACTCAAGCAGGGTAGCAGGCAAAAGATTTTCTGCTGCTGCAGAAATACTCTGCTCTTACTCTTGTAACTCCAGATACAAGCAGTACATCAAAAGAAAGTCTCACATGGAAGCAGGAGATGCTCTTCTATTTGTATATTGGCTTTGGGGTTTTTTTGTTGTTTTTAAATGGAAAAGGGAAAATACTAGGGATTTTTAAAAAGCCCCCAGTAGGAGACACTTTTACCAAAGTGTCCACTCTGCTAAAGAAAGTCGTCCCATGAACAGCTCTGGCTTCTGTATTCACCTCAGGGAATGCTACATTTCATTCTGAAAGATGACACCTCTAGAGACTCAGTAGCTGAGTTTTGTGGAATATACATTTTATATATTTGGAATGATTATTTGTTATAACCACATGTTTAAATATAAAACTTTTTTGCACCTGTTGATTTGGGAGCCATCGATCATCACAAATCCCACAAAAGACAGAATAATTCTCTTTATATGACCATGAGACAGAAAACGAAACCAAGGGCTTTTTACACATGAAGTTCATCCTCCTACCCGACAACCTACATGCTCCCTACCAAATAAGCTTTTCTTACTAAAGGTAGAAAGTTCCTTTAATTTGAATGCACACAACCAAGTAAAGTCCTTGATGATCAATACTTCCAGGTTCTCTCTACCATTCTGGTGAGAAGTCTAGGGGAGAAGGAAGTAGCAGAAGTAATTCTCTATTGGAGCACAAATAGGAACTTGATGAATTTAAAAATAAAACAGACACAAGGAATGAATTGACTTCATTGCCAAAATGTTTTGTGGTCTAAGCTGAAGACTGTGGCTTAGTTATGAAGCCTGTAACCACAAAAACATACTAAATCACCTTCAAATTCTCTTGGTAAGAAACACAACTAATCTCTTGTGAATGAGAAAGGAAGCTGTGCAGCAAAATATCTCCTATTCAAAAGGAGATTTTCTATGGAGAGTTTTAAGCCATAGCCCATTGAATTGCAACACAGAAACATGTTCTGTTGAATTAAAAGGAGCTAAAATTCAGGCTGCTGAAATGCTTGAAAAATCAGGTCTCTGTTCAATGCCTGAGGTCTCACATTCCTTCATCAACCCCATTCTCTCTTCTCCTGTTTTCCTCTTTCCAGAAATAAACATGAGAGGAAAAAAGGAAAAGCAGATGCTACACCTCATCAGGCTACTAAAAAGCAAGCAAATAAAGCAAATAAGAAAGGTTGGAATTGTTTGGTAAATATCTGGTTTACCTTGTGCTCACAGCAAATAGCTAGCTGTATGAAAGTACTGAAGCAAAATATATTAGCTGACTGATGTTAAATGCTTTCTTATGAATTGATAAAAATAGGAATGTACTGTACTTTACAAAAGCCACAACTTGAACATGACTAGCTTGTAATGAAATGTAATGTATTTAAAAGCATGTATTTAGAATTTTCAAAAATATTTTGATTCTTTATTCATACTGATAGTGGTCAAGACATCCAGACACAGGTACACAATATCTCTGTTTAGGCATTTAATTATTAAGTCGCATGACTTTTGGAAGCAGCCACAACTCAAAGGCAGATTTAACTTGAGTGTTACTGAGCGTTTGGGAACATAAGCATTAAGTTATGGTCTAACCTGTTGCTCTTTGACGAACAATATTTCTTGCTTTCTCAACTCCCGGGGCTCCAGAAGTCGTAGCACTTCTGAACCTCATTGGCTCCACAACTTCAGGATGACTCTTCCAGCTTAATGAAAAGGATCGTCCTACTACAGCTGTCTTCTGAGGCTCTAAAATACCACCTTAGAGATGAAAAAAACAAAATTCTTGGGCATTGTATGCTTTTACATATATTCTTCTTAAAGTACAAATGAACTTACAAGCACTCAGACATGAAAAATATTAATCTTTTCAACAACACAAATGAATTTTGACTATTACTAAAATAAAAATCACTACTTCAGCTATGTTCATCAATTGCAAGGTGGCACATAAACATAGCTAAAATATTGTAATTAATAAAGTTAATAAAAATACATGGAAAATAATTTTTACACTGATGACTATGCCAGACTACAGCACAGGAAACCACATTTCATTTCCATTACACAAAAGACACTGATTTTGTGCGCATACCAAGAACTGCTAAATAGCTATCTTCTATTGACCCCAATTACCTTTCCTCCCACAGGGAAGTATGAGAATACATAAATCCAAAGCACTTCACATTTGATTAAACAGGTTCTTACACTAGATTAAGTAGTATTTAATGTCAGATTAATTATTAAACTTAAATATTTAACTTGTTTGATGCAAAAAGCACTGAAGCACACAGACTAACCTTTTCCTCTCTGCTTTTTTTCTTTTTGTTCACTGAGCTTATCCAAGGGTAGGTTTGTCATTTCCACCCCATACACAGTTCTTGCTAGCACTGCTGTTAGAGAGTCCATGATGTTGGCCCACTCATTTATGAGATCCTCCCAGTCTGTCAAGGCGGACAGAACACTGAGCAGCTCATCCCACAGCTCCCGAGAAATGTAAACGCTCAGGTTTGCTCTGATCCATGCCACAATGAGGGTCTCGAAGAAAAAAAACAAGTGACAGTTCATGCATTTCTGTCAAGTTGAATCTGGCACACCAAAACCAACCCACACATCGATGAAGTCAACACCAACCTGCATATTAGCATTGACTATTTGTGATGCATAGATATTATGCATAGATATTTTTCATTAAAAAAATATTCCCAGAAATTGGTGGGTAAATAATTGTGAGAGTTATTGACTACGGTAGTCTAAAAATTCCAGAACCAATGTTTCAGATGGTCTATATGTTATCTGGTAAACTGAAAACATACGCTGGGTATAATAATAACAGATTGAAGAACTGTCTCCTATACCTACAGAATAATTGCAGTGATTGAGCTACGGCAGTGACACTCTGACCTAGAGCCTGTAGCTGAGCATGCAAAGCACATTACCACATATAATTGTTTTCATCTCACTCAGTGTGACTCAGTTTTGACTTGCCAGCAGAACTTCTAGGAACACAGTTACATCAAGCATACACCTTAGAGATACTCACTGAAGACATCCTACAAAGAGACTGTGTTCCTGCCTGTTCTGCCACAGTTTGTAATAGAGCCCTGACTAACAGATCAAATCAACTGTTTGTTCCACCTGGAATCTGTCTCCCTCAATTAGGAACAGTTTACAAAATAATTACTTGTATTACTGCAAAGGAAAATTTTTTCATGTTTTATGAGTAGGTTTCATAGTACGGTGCAATAGGACTTACCTAAAACTACAGGTAATAATCTTGAAAAATCAACATAAAAAAAGCAAACCCAACACTCACTCGGAAAAGTAATCCTGACATGCTTTGAGCAAATGTATCCTTCATTTGGTTTTCTTTTGGCTTCTGCATCACAGCTTCTGTTATTCTAAGGAGTATTTGTAACATCTGTTCCCTGGTTCCAAAACAAAATTGTACTTTTTGTTCACATGTTCCATTAATTGTACTTGTTAATTTTCATGTACCAAAACCCCCTCTTAATGCCTCCAGTAAGCCTTACATATCGAGTATGTGATCACACTCAAAACTTCACAGATCATTTGCAAAATAACAGTAGTTGGTTGTGGACTGTAAAAATTGATTTTTGAGAAGGTGAAGTCAGGAATGGAAATACCAGCCAGAGCCTTGAAGTCAAACAGTATCATGGTGCAGACTCAGCAGAGCCTGCAGTCTCACAAATCAAGTCAGAGGCCAGCCACATGTGTGACTTAAGTAGTACGGTCTACTCCTGAGACAGCCAGTCTTTTCCCTACCCAATGATTCTCCCACACAGTTTAAAAGATGGTAATTTTCTCTTAAATGATGCAGAATGTATTAAGCTCACCAAGTCTTTTTATTCATTGATAGTTCCATTATCATGCGCCTAAAGATACTCAGAACTGCTTTGCAAGCATCAACTTGCTCCTTTAGAAGCACAGGGACTTCAGTGCATGGTTCCAGTAAGAAAACATTCGCAGAGTTTGTCAAGAATACCTTCAAGAAAGGCATTTAGAGTCAATTAATGTAGTGTCAGGAATAAAAAAGGTCAAGACTTACAATAAAATACTTCTCCAGTCAAACCCTTCACTTTCTCTACAGCAAGTTGCATGTTTCATTTTACTTTTCTGTATCATTCTAGCAAAAAGTCAGGTGGCATTTCAGACCCAGCAGAGGCATGCATTGCACAGTATGGGCTTTGTAGGTATCTCTTCTATTCAGGCAGGCAAGGGTACCGTTCCTCCAGCTACTCATTTCCTGGCTTTATATGCTCATGCATCCACCAATATTTCAAATAAATGAGGTTCAGTACGAGCAAATGTACAGTTCTGATCAATTCCTAGTATCCACAGTAGAAAAAAATTGAACTTTCTGTCTCAAAATATAGACATCTTGCCCCAAGACATGGTCATGTAGCTTAGTATTAATTTTAATAAAGTTATAAATTAAGTCCAAATTGTATCTTAAAATATCAACAACAGTCTTCCTTAATCTCAGAGACTGTATTATAATTTGTAGTGTAAAATTACATTATTATGTCAGAGCCCTGTACCCCTTCTAGACACCACACCTGTAATGCAGCTTGAGCACCAGCTTTCACATTTTTGTCCTCATCTTCTAATATACATCCTCTGTTAACAGCACTGGTAAAGGAGTATGTTCTTCCCCAGCTGGATGAGCGCTTATGTCCTGAATGGTCAGAGGAAAGCTTTCAAAAACATGGTTCAGTTAGTGACAAAGCAGAAAGGAGTATGTCCACATTTATTCAAAATCATTTAAAATGTCAAAAGCAAAAAAGGGGGAGCTGTCATGTCCTACATTAATTTCAGCAAGGAATTCATGTCTATTATTTCTTAATCTCTGAACAAACGTGGAATTTAAGGGCTTATAAAAGTTTTAAGAGCTATGTTATTTAAAATATCTTATATCACATTTTGTAGTCACCGATTGCAGCAATAGTTGAATAAGCCTGGCAAAACTATAAATCCCCTACAAAAAATAATCGTGTAATTCTCATTATGTTTTTAGAACTTGACCCTCTTTCTCAGTACAACAAAACATCCCTTTAAACAGCTTCACTGTGTCAATAGTGTCAAAGTCAACTTTTACTGATGGTTCAATACAGGTTACTAAAAAGATGATGCACAGAATTTGTATCTACACTTTGATTTTGTAGATTAAGATGTCTGAATCCAAGTATTTCACCCAGTATATACAAATTAGGAGATATTTTCAAAATCTAATTAACTACCACCAAAAGGAAATAGACCTACATGCACTAGGCCAACATACAGTGTAAATTTTAACACTGCAGAACATATTAGCAATTTCTCCCATTAAGTTCTTGCTATCGTAGAGAGAAGCAATAATCAACAAATTACATTGGTCAAAATAGCAGCAATCTTTCCCTGCGCTCAGTAAAGGCTACTGAACACTCAATACTACTTTAAATTTCTGGACCTTTAATCGTGATTTTCCACACATTTTAAAAATTGTTACTCATTTCCAAAGCGAGTTTAAAACTTAAATCATATATTGTAGGCAAACAGAATAAAGTAAGTAACAGTGATACCATACATGTTTACCATCAGTTTGCACTGATGAATCTTCCAAGTTGACAACAGTATCCTGAATGTCTTCCTTTTTGTCTGGCTCCTCCATGAATACAGGTTTCTCTTGCAATATCCACTTCCGATATACCTTAACCACTTTTCGTGTTGCAGATATATCAGAAGGTGGCAATAAAAAAGCCTAAATTGAAAAGTTAACTAATTTTACTATATATAGGACATAGATGTGCATGTATGTATAAGCACACCCATATACCACCACCCATAAATAATACAGCTCAAAACAGAAAGGATACATAGTTCTTAATTTTACGTCTGTACTGGAAGGAGTTGTGATCAATCAACAACCTATGCATATATCTACATCAGCCACAATTCTGTAACTACTAATTCCAAATTACTTCCATGTTGTATTTGTTTGGACAAAACCACAAAGGTTGTTTTTTCCTCTTGCAAGTCTGTAAATGAACGTGCATTCATCTTACAGGCCATTACTAGCCACAGACATCTGGCAGGCCAAACTCAGGTACTATGTTGCACTTCCTGGAGAAGATGACTTCGAATTACATCAGCAGTATACGATGAGAAATGCAAGTGTAGGTAGGGACAGAACAGTAAGTTGTGATGAGGATAACAGTGGCTGGCATTCCATCCTTTCTTACTACAGTTTTGGAAGTACACAATAAATTTATTTTCAACGTGCTACTCCGTATCTGTATTTGGGAAGCATTCTGTAAAGATGTCCTCTCCAAAAGCTAATGAAGGCTAGACTGGCTGCTTCCCCACAATTCTGGAGGTTTTCGGAGACTGAAAAAAATACAGTGACAGAAAACCATTGCGCTGCAGTGAGCAGGCACAGAAATCAATGTCTGAAAATGTCATCTGGTACAAAAAAAATGCGTATCTTGACAACAAAAAAAACATGTTGGTATCAATATGCATTATATTATAAAACCACTGAAAGATGAAAATATATTTTTCATACTAAAAAATAGGTTCTTTCACCTGTGAAGAGATTACCCACTTTCCATGATTAATAGGGTCAAACCTATAGTATTTCCTACACCTAGTTTAGCTGCAAAATCATTACAAAGGTATCTTGCTCAGGTCAATGGAAATCTTTGCATCCCATACTATACTTCCTTGTCTCTAGTTAGCGTGAAGTGCAACATCCAACAGCTGATTTCAACAGAAATTGAAGGCTTAGCTAAAGCAAGTTCAAATATGTCATACAGGAAGTATATGAAATTTCTGAGTATGTCTTTACAGACACTGTCAACTTATTAAGGATGCAGAAACTGAAAAAGCCAGAAGCCAACTGCTAGAGTATCAGAGAAATAACAGTTCATTGGTGGGATGAATGGGCACAGCATGGAATGCTTTCAGAAAGGCTAAGCAGCAGGGTAAAAAGAAAAAAAGCAAGCAAGAAAGAGAAGAAATTCACAGTGACTAGTAAGATTCCTGTAAGGAAGAGATAAACACAAAAAGGTGTCCAAATACCATTATCTGTTTCAATTACTGAACACTGATCACATTTAGTAAAGATAAAGGTACTGCACCACGTTAGCCTTTGTTCCTTGAAGCTGGTCTAACCTTACATACTCTGAACAAACACCAGGAGAGGGCAGCATGCCACAGCAGTTCTTAACACACAGAGAAGTACTCCTTCCTGTCAAAATGCTATCTGTCCCACTGAAAAGCACTGGTACAAGGAGTTCCCAAGCCATGTCACATAAGATACTTCATAGTAAAGCATGTGTGCTCACTCAGCTGCTGGAGAGTATCTTCTGCACGTTTATGTGACCCTGGAACTGCTGCTTCAACCAACTTCTACTTTGGTACCAGACAAGAAAAATAAATATAAAAATTGGCACTCTTGTATTTTTATCCCAAACAATTGAAAAGATGTCAAATTACTGAAAAATACTAGTAGAAGCAATCAATGTTCAAATAGACATTAAATACTGACATTGATCAAGGAAAAAGTCTTACTAATTCAAATAATAAAGTTGCAAGCTAGTAGCTCTTTACACACCTTTAAATTACATCACAATACCAAGAACAAATTGGCCCATTCAAATAAGACACGTTGCCATCTGGCACCAGGAACAAGATTCAGTTCCTATAAAAATTTCGTAATTTTATCATTAAAACTAGACCTAGGAAGGACTCTAATCTAAAAGGGTACTGGTGAGATCTGCATCAAGTTTGAACAGTTACCTGACCAACAGCCTTCTCAGTGTTCGTTCTCATAACCATGACATTTCCTTATAACAAAAACATACAGTAGCAATTAAACATACACACTTACTTGTCGAAACACTTCATTAACAAAGTTAACATATCCTCGAGTGGATAAAAGGATTCTCTGCACCATCTCATAGACAGTTCGGTGCTGCTCTTCGATGCTGCAGAGGCTGGAATTACTGAGCCTTCTGTCAGACAAAGTGCTGCTGTTAGAATGGCTTCTCTCCTGCTCACTCGCATAAGACATACTGGTTTCCAGCTCTGCGTTTTTATCCTGGTTTACAACACCAACAGTCTACACAGAATAAAACACACACCTAATTAAGTAACAGAAATAGTTTACACCAAAAATCCTTATGCAGAACTCAAGTGCTCTTTTTCACGGAACACACTGGAATCCCAACAGTCAGGAAGTGTAACTTTCAGTCTACTACTTGATCCGAGAAGGAATTTGGTTTTATACTCTGCATGATGTACACTGCCTGTGCCCCTCCCCGAGCCCAGAACAGCTGACTTGTCCACTCCGTAAGACAAAGAAGGAGGGATGCAGTGGTGGGAGGAAGGCACAGGTGCAGTGGAGAGGAATCCCCAAGTCCCTTGATTTTTGGGAAAAGATGGATCATACCACTACACATGCCTCATACTACTGCATATTATTATTCCTGACAACTCTTTGTCAGGTTTTGTCCTAGCATTGCATTAGTTTTGCAACATCTCAAACCATGTCCAGCTAGAATGATCCAGTCAGAAGACAGAGGACTAAAAAAACTGCTTTTGAGTTACTAGAAAAAGAACTCCAACTTACACTAAATCAAAGTAACACCCAAATACAGCTCTGCTTTATGTTTACATTTATAAAGCTGCCCTCTGTTTGACCAAATGAGCAGTAACAGCAGCAGTAACATCTCTACTGCTTTTCACAATGAACTTGTTTGGTAAGATTCAGCCACACTAGCGAGGCACAAAACCACTAAGTCAACACATGCCAAAAGCTGGCACACAGCTTCAGCTAAGTGATAACTCTTGACCAGTTTCCATTTTGAGTGCAGCAATACCTTTATGCAACTTAAATATTTATTTGGTATCAGCTGTCTATAAAATTCAGTCAAAAGAAAAAAAAAAAAAACTTTTTCTAGGCAATATCTGTTGGAATGGCACAGAAGTTTATGTAAAAAGTAGAATTTCCAATGAGAAAGATCAATTAAAAAACGCACTTTCATTAGGTAAGCTACATTTAGCTGGCTCAGGGCTTCCAACCTCTACAATGAAGAACTCAAAAAAACAATTGACATGAAAAATACTCAGTTCTACTGTAATTGTTAATGTATGCTTTTCCACTGAATCCAGATTTGACACTGACATATGATTCAAGAGAAGACCGTAAATTGACATTGATACCAAATTTTTAACAGGAAGCTGGAGTCTCTTAAAAGAAAGAATATCTGTTGCTATAAAATTCATTGTGAAGTCCCTAATCCTAGAGAAGTCTCAACCAACAGTTTGAAATTAGAAATATTTTTCTAATACCTCATTGTCAACAGCTGCTATAATCAAAAGGAAAGCAAAGCAGCTATTGATGTTGCTGGGAAATGGTCCATGGCACAAGTAAGTATGACAGTTTACAGATTAAATTCCCAAAGTCTAAACATAACACTGATGAAGCTGGTACGGCAAACAGCTATGAGAAAAAAAAATTCTAGTAAACTACTAAATGGTTTCCCTTATATTCCCTCCTTCATCCAAGGAAAAAAAAAAAATAAATAATCAAATACATCGTTTATTCACTTAAGGGTAGCATTTCTTTCTTGTTTCAGTTGTCAGTGTATTGTGATCATGAGCAAGGTTAGCATGTACATAAGAAAAGAGAGGTAAACTTTAAAGCACACCTGAATAATTTTAGGGAGCATTTCTCCTCCATTCTTTGTATTCTGAACAGCAGTTAAATATTTCTTTTCAAGAAAGAAGGTTACAAGCCACTTAATAAAAACAACTCGAGCTGCCATATATGGGATTTTTGTGCTATAGACATTTTCATTGTTTCGTGTTGCAGTAATGTACACTGGTCTTGGTCTTATATCAGGAATATCTGGTGAGATAAAAAGAGGAGATATGAAGAAAATCTAATCTTAAAAAACTGTAATTGCTTCCAGACACTGGCTAAATGTATTGAACATGTCACCAACAACATTTTTTCCAAATGAAATAGCAGATGCAATGACTGACTGCTTTTATTATATTAATGCTATTCTATCATAATTTTATTACTCCTAAAGAGAAGCAAGAACACAAAAGCACAGCTCTTTCCTGAAGGTTATAAATTGCATCACACAAAACAAAGGAAAGTAAAAGAGAAGGGCTGCAAAAAGAAGAGCAAAATCTGAAACAAACTATTCCTACTACATTTAAGTTAAAAGTTTCACAGTTTTATCAATTAAGTAGAGTAGAAAAGAGAAGATGGCTCTGGAACACTCAATAGTGTAAAGATTAAGAAGAAAAAGGATACTTAGTGCATTGGAAAGAAAAGTTAGCTCAGATGCAGAGCGCACTGCACAAGCTGAAATAAAAGAAAGAAAACACATGGGAAGAAGTGGAAGATTACCAAAGGGAGATAGGTTGGGTCATAATTCATTCATATGCTTAGATTTAGGAAAAACTCACTTGTAGCCAGTTGAAAAAGATGGAAGGCCTGGGCTCTAGCTGTGAACAGCACAGCTGAAGTAGTACTGATGTGATTTTAGATACTACATATTAGACTGCAAAGGACAGGAGTTAAAAGTCAGAGGAGTGAGGGGAAGGATGATGAAAAAGAGGCTGCAGTACATCAGGTACTAACACCACTGCTCCTATGGACTCTAGTACATGAGTCAGTATGAAATTACGAAAAATGTGTTTCTGAAATAACACGCTTTTAACCCTGAAACTGTAGATGTACATCTCCATTCCCTTTCCTCTGGCCCTTCATGTTCATTTTCTCTTCAAGGAAACAAGTAGTAAAATAAGAGTAACTAAGGTTGCTACTCCCTCATACAGGGGCAACTTGTTGATTCTTTAGAAAACTGAGAGAGCATATTCTGTCTTCATTACATATCACAGTTACAGAGTCCTCACTCACTCGATCTAAATGCTACACCAGTGGAAATGTCCTTTGGAAAGGAGAATCAGACCAGTCCTTATGCAGTGATGAGCAGCAGCAGCTTCCTGGACTATCTCAGAAAAACAAAAGTTGTGCTAGGAAAAAATCAAGACATGAGACAAGGGAGGAAAAATCCTCATTCAACAGAACTGTAGTGATACACCAGCAGGTTACAGAGATGCTACTGAGAATAGTCACCATTACTGCTTTTTCCATCTAAAAGGCAAAATTCACTACTTACCAAGAACAGGTTTGTAGAGGTTGGTTAGCTTTGTAAAAGACGGAAACAAGTGAGGAAGATAGTATTTTCTAAACAAGGTAAAGAGAAATTTAAAACCCGTGTCGTGGTTCTCCTTATTCTTCCACTCTAAACTTGCAGCCTTTGTCATGGAGTTAAAGAGAAACAAAAAGCTTCAAGTTAATGTGTTAGACTGACAATCATTCCACATTGAATACAAACGATAAACAATTGCACTTTATCAAGATATAAAAAAAATTGCACTGTCCCAAAAAACTTTATAAACTGCAGTAAGAATATAAGATATTACCATGAGGGCTTTAGCGTATCAAAGAAAGCGAACTCATTAGAAGCCAGCATATTTGCACTGTTCTAATCCAGTGAAGCACAGAAAATGTTGTATTAATGTTTTTAACAAATTTGCTTCTTACCTGTAAGTTTAGACGAAGGTACACTTCGGGCTATACTTTTATCACAAATATGTTTTTCATCAGAAACACACTCAATGCCCACACTTAATACAGTTGCACATAGACATGCAATACTCATTCGCAAAATTTGACTCAAGGCACAAGTAATTTCCACTGACAAAGAAGAGGCTGACATCTAAGTTTGTTTTTAAAGGTATTTTTCCGTTATTGCATAGATCAACACCAGTCATACCTATACTTTAAAGTTGCTCTTTACCAACAGTTTTTACCTATAACTCCTTGAAATACCGTGCCAAATTCTGACAAAAAGTTGCTCTTTTCATATTGAAACACCTTCAATTTGAAGTTGCACAAAACCTATATGAGTGTTATCTTTTTTTGTATAAGAAAATCCAGTACAATTTCAAATAAGAAACTAGAAGTAGACATGTCTACAATTAAGCAGTTTTTCCACTGATGACTTAAACCTACCTGGGTTTTAGTCTCTTACATCACTTCTCTTTATGTGAAACTCAAATGAGCACTAAAAGTGTTTATCTTTTGACATATACTCTAAATTCAGGCCCACCTCTTTTATCTTGTCTTTTTTTTTTTTTTTTTTTAGGCAACATCAAAAGACTACAGGATTCTTAAATCTTGGTTTTGTGGTAAAGCTCTTAGGAAAGCCTGTCCAACTGCATATAGCAGATAACAAGTTCACTGAATCCGTATCCAAGATGATAATTTATTAAGTTAAAGAAAAACTGACTTGTTTACATCAGTCATGTAAGATTTAATTATTTATTTATTTTTAAACACATTTTCTTACTTTAATCTGCACTAGATCTTCTTCCAAATCTCTAAAAATTGTGGAACTTGTAATGTCCTACTTTTACAAAATACACATGTAGAGCTTGGAAACAAGACCACTGAACTTTTGTATAATTTTGTTATGTAAATAAACTGACTCATATTAAATTCTATCCAGTCCCAGACATACATTTTCTTGAGGATGTAGATTTGCTCTATGTTCTGTCTCTGAGCAATCATTCTGCACTTGCATCAGATTATTTTAATCTCATCTCTTGCCTGTAGCAAGGTTACTGCCCAACTGTGCTCTTCTCTACTGAGCAACACAAATAAATGAATGTTGATGAACCACAGTGCAATTGGATTTATAGTGTAGTCAGCTTTTTAACATCCCAAACATGTAATAAGAATATAAAAAGAACAGTGAAAATTTTTTACTGAGGTGTTGTGAGACTCTGATATGTAAAACAAAGAGTGCTGTGTAGGAAGTTGATAATTTCATACAGCCACTTTTCAAATTAAAGCATTTATTCAAGATGACAAAACCCTTTCCAAATATCATTTTGATCTTGCCTTTTGATATAGATATTAAAAAAGATGTATCTCAAAGTATTTAATTATCTTTTATCTTTTTTTTTAATATTGAGTTCTTTAATGTTGTCTACACAGTTTCCACTGTATTTAAAATGTTGCTTAATTTGTTCTTTTTAAATATATACATTATCTTAATTTCTTTCCTGTCCAGATTAATCTGATCTATTTATAATTAAAATTTTTGATGTACATGTTACTTGCATTCTTTAAGAAAAAAAAAATAAAACTCAGAAGCCATCTCTCCTTTTTTATCTCTTTCTCCAGTGGTCCTTTACATGTCTTCCCAGCTCTGTATGTGTCCAAAGAGAACAAACTGCATTTTTACAACATATCCATTTTCTAAATGCAACCACAAGCACATAAAATAGTCAGTTATCCTGCAATGTTAGATAACATTCATTAATTCTCATCACAAATATGAAAAGCTTATTTTCACCAAAAATGGCACAAGGAATTACCTTTGGGATTATTTTCCTTTTAAAAAAAAGTATAAGAAAGTGCAGAAGACCACTTTTTCCTGGGGCGCTCTCTATAGATGTAGTTTAGACTTAGCTTTCTACAAGTACATTCCTCCAAATATGAACAGTTAAAAACATATATCCTCCGCACCTGAATTACCATATATTTTAACAGTAGCTGAAGAAAATAGCAGGTTTGGTCTTCAGCAATTTTCTCTCCAGAGACAGCTGGCAAAAGTGGCGTTATTTCTTCTGGAAAAATCTTAGCTAAAATAAAAATAAAATGTTTTAAATATAAAAAACTTAAACTAGTTAAGTAAAATATATTTTCTATTAAAAGATTAATTTGAAAATAATCATTAATGCACTACTAAGTTGTACAAAGTCTAAGTCCAGTAACTGATTGGGCTTCCCATATTTCCACAAGTCCTACCGCATACAATGGAGTGTGGCACCAACCTCTGATTTACTGCCGTTTGGAAGGGCTAACACAAGCAGTCACTGTAGATTAACCAATAAGTTGTAAATCTAAACACCCACTGATTTTGCCGTACCATGCTCATATAGCTGCACCTCAATTAAAAAAAAAAAAAACACACACAAACCCCACCAAAACCCAGCTGTTCTGAACTCAGAATGACAAGATCAGGTTATACAGTTGCAACAAATCCTACAGCTTGACAAATTCAGCACATCTCTGAATTATAAAGACAAATAGTACCATCCATGTGACCTCCTTCCCACAAGAAACTCTATAGCTCCACAACAACCTCAGAGCAAGGGGGAGGGAATACATCCGTCATGGAAATCCGGTTCATTTACTCACCGTCTGGCGAATTAGGAGGACTAATAAGGTTATCTAGTGTACAGGGACCTCGTGAGGACATAAAGGGTGGAAAGCCAGGCACAAGGCATGCAAATATTAATATCTGCTCTTCTGCACAGTTAGTCTGAAGCGCTTGAAGCCAGAGAAGAAACAGTCGGATTCCTTCACATCTTATCTACAAGGGGATGATTTTGTAGAAAAAGATATTAAAACAATTTTTAAAAGTACAGCACCACAGTTAAATAGGTAAGAAAATGCAAGACAAGTACTTTCATCCCAGCTATGTGCTAGCGAGTCTTTCCATCATACCAAGAGTAATCACATGATTAATTTAATCATGAGCAGAAAAAAGTGGGAGCAAGCTGTACCCAAGGCAGTGGCACTCCAAGCAGAGAGCATTGCCACTCCAACGTCAATCAGAGGCAAAAAAGTTCACGTTCCGCTCCCCCAGGTCCGAGAGCCAAATGCATCTTGGCTAGTCCCAAGGCTCAAACATAAAAGGGGCTCTGAAAGCACAACAGCAAATGTAACGCGCAGCTGGGGAGCTGCCAGTACTCTGTAACCTGCAAAGTCTGAAATCTTGGCCGCACAGAGGTCAAAGCAAGCTACTGTCCTCCACACCACTGGTGTCCAAAGATCCATGTGAAAACTGAGAAGCAACAAAACCACCCAAGGCAGCATATTCAGGAAGTTCACTAAGTTTATTTACTACTTTTTTTCATTAACAAGATACAATTTTAATTTTAGCCCTATATTTAGAAAAAGAGAAATGGATTTAAAACTCTCTGGCAAACAAGAAACCCATACAGTATACTTAATGCTAGAGGGATCTGAAAAAATAAAGTTTTAAGCAAAATATATTGATACCTTCTCCGGGTAACTTTACAAAGGTCATTAGAACAGCAAAATGACTGAATATAAATGTTAAAATAATCTAGGATTACAATAATAAAATTTATGATTAATAGGTAAGTAAAATTTCAAAGCCTAACAATCTGAAAAACACTGATAATGAAAAATTGTAAAGTAATATGTTTCATAAGAATTAAAGTGAAAAGAAATATGAATACATGAAAGAGAAATACCTTGAGAGAATTTCCAGTGTGCAAAAGCTTCTTCAGAATTGACCCTGGATTAGAGAAATGGAACAAGCACATATCAGATACTAAGATGGTCACTTTCCACCAGAATTTGTTGTATTTTTTTTTTTTTTTTTTTCTAATACTATGGAAAAGGCTAGTTTAATGCCATGTACTATGTGGCTACTGTGCTGGTGATTAAGAAAATTATGGGGTGAAAAAAACCCAAAGTGAATCCAGTTACAAACATCATCATCAGAGTTCTAAGATTCAATATACTGTATCTTTACAGTGAGGTACTTTGGTTTTAGTCAGATGAAAATTTGTCAAATTATATTCATTAAAAATAAGTTATCTAGGGGAAATTTTTACTTACTATATTTGGAGAAATCAGGCAGTCCAACTTGTAGGATTAATGCATTCACATATACCAAATTCACAATAATGATAAGAAAAAGATGCTAGCAATCTACACTACATTCATGTCTATAAAACACAACTATTAAAAGAGCAACATATTTCGATTCTGGTTTTAGAAATATCAGGCTAACTGTCCTTAACTTCAAATGTTATTTTTCCTGGATTTGTGAATTATGTACATTCCTTAGACATGATCCTTCTCTCAAGATCTCACCATTTCACAGTATTAAGTGGAAATTATTAACATTTATAGCAAATATATATTAATGCATGTGAATGTTAAGCAAAAAATCAAATCACAAGGTACAGCTGTAAAGAACTGCACTGCCAAATTTTGTAGCTTATTTATTGGACACAGCTAAAAAATTATCCAAATATGAGTATTCAAGAGAAGCATAAATATAAAGAATATATTAACTATAAAACAACTGACTAAACCCAATTTGTTCTGGACTAATTCAGATGAAATGGTAGTAAAGTGGTCAAGCAGATGTCTCCTTTTATTTTTGTCAGTGCTAACTGGAAATGTGACAAAAAGCCCTTTCCTTGACCTTTAACTTCCACTCATTATCTCTTCTGCAACAGCAAATTCATTGTTCTGATGAAAACCATAGCAGCTGATGAAATAATGATGGAAACCAAACCGAACAACAACAAAAAAAGTACTGCTTAGAATAAATATAACTCCTTCCCCCTCCAAGCAGCAAAAAATTTACTTTAATAAACAACAAAACAAAACACTGCAACCACTCTGGTAGCACTCAGAAGCAGAATTTTCAATGTAGTGATGAATCAAAGATATTTAATTTGGAGAAAATTATCAAGTTAAACTACTGTATTGGATTTCAGGGTGCTTTGACTAGCAAAATTTCACTTTGTAATATTTCTGCGCTCATTGGGCTCTAGCTTTATTCAATCTGGTCAAATAAGGAGAGGAATAAATTTTGCTTTCTGACTCCTGTACATGATTACAGAGTCAGAAGATTCACTTTATATGCACTATAGGCCACAGGGAGTATTTAAATCATTAAAAAGTTAACTATCTTCAAACTAAAGACAATAAAGCTTTTTTTTTTTTCCCCACAGCATTCAAATCTAACTTTAAAATCTAGTTGAAAGTCCTATACAAACAATATGAAAACTTCTAAAACAACTTGGTAGTTGTTCAGAAAAATTAATCCTGCTTTTCTTACTTATATTTCCAAAGTTCATGAGTGACTAAACCAAGCCTGTTAGATATCTATTACCTTTATGCTCAAGAGAAGACAACTATAGTGGAAGAACATTAAGTGCTTTAAGCCAAGCAACCCAAGTATGTGCCCTAAGTTAGCAACTTTACTTTGTTCTTTTTCATGCACATATTGCAACACAATCTTCAGTTCCATGTTTATGAAGCCTTTTTCTGCAGAACACGTGCCCCACAAAGCATGCAGAACGGACAAGAGACTAAGGGGAAAAAAAAGCAGAGCTTTACCAACTCCAAGACTTCTCTCACCAGTCTTCTATTTCTTCCCTTGCTCCACAAGCCAGAGTATGTATAGTAAATACCATAGGAGCATGAGGAAAGAACAATTTGACCAAGTGAATGCCATCCATAGGTATCTTGTCTGTCATGGCCAATGTCATATTCTAACTTGATGCTTAGTAAATCCTCTATTATATGAGAATCAGTGAAAGACAGCTGGGGCTAAACTTGCAGGAATACTGTGTATTCATAAATCCACTCATAAAGGCCAGTAAAATTGTGAACCACTCATTAAAAGAAAAATTGGTCAAAAATAGCTACTAAAAAGTTTTTATTTTTGTCTCTAATCTCTTTCTTACACTATCCCAGCTCTAAACCAGAAATTCCTTATTTAATTCCCACAAACAATGTGACAACTGAGTGTTTCACAAATATTCATGAACTGCACAGCGAGTGCAGAAATATGAGAGAAAAAATTAAGCTCCTATTCACTGCAGCAGTCCAATGGTTTGCATACACTTTAACACAACCTTTGCTCAACTACCAAACAGCCACCTATTCACAGCATAAACCTTACGGAATAAATTTCCAGGAGGCGGCAAGGGTTGAGGTAAAGAACAATATTTAGTGCTATGAATTTTTATGGGCATCTCGTATAGGATCACTTGCAAAAGACTATCATAATGCAAATTTGCAAGAGAGTCACATACAGATTCCACAACCCTCCTCAATCTTAATTTTTGGTGTTATTCTGTGAATACAAAGGGAGACCCAATTAGAAAAAGGTGTGTTGGTTTATAACCATCATCATCATGATGCGCATGGAAGAGAAGAAAGGGAAGATGACTCAAGTAAATCCAAGAACACAAAAATTTAGAAAGCATTTGTGCAAAATAAAAATGAAGCAGGCAACCAAACCACACAAAACAAGGAACACACAGAGCTGTTACAGCAGGTAAAAAGATTTTCCATATGTTTTGAGAATTTTCAGCTGCAAGTCTCATAAGTAACTACTATTGGTATATGGACAATACTAAGGGATTCTGTGGTTAACAGGACTTGCAGAACCAGGGAAATGACTACAGAAAACATTGATTTTATTTGTACTAGAACATTTTTAAAGCATTCCTTCTTACCTATACTGCGAAAATGCCATCGATAAAAAATCCTCTCAGGTAGTAGCTGCAATATTTTCTGCAGGAAACAAAACTAAATAGTCAAATTTTCTGTAATAAACTGGCTCATTCAGAGGATACAGAGGAACTAATACACAAGACATAAATGAAATGGTAATATATACATAGAGAACACAATAGAAAGCAAATACCTATCATAAGAAAGACTCTTGCCCGTCACTTTACTCTTGTTACCGAGAAAGATACTAGGAATGCTCCTGAATAAATACCATGACACTATCATGAACCGCTTTCCCTTTCCCACTGTCTTGCAAAGCCCTAGTATTCCAGAATATAAACTGATTTCTAATGAAGAAGTTAGAGATTTCTAAGAAGCTCACTTTGGGTTACATTTTTCTGAAGTGCCTGGTAATGACTACTGTTAGACTGATACAGTTCAGATTTGGAGCTTCTGTGGCTTAGGCCTGTCTTTTCATCAACTAATGGGGTCTGATCCCCCAGCTGAGGCAGAGATGAACAGCGGTGCAGTTATTTTTACTGTGAGATGATTTACCTGTATTTTCAGCTGGTGAGTGAAACCGAGCCAAATTACACAAAGCTAGACTAATTTAATTCACAGCACATGCAGTTAATAAAGCACTTATGTGGAATAATATGTAGTGGCTTGCCTCTGTAGTTTCGGACTGATCCTAACAGAGGCAGATCAAACAAAGAAAAAGGTTGTGGTCAAACCCATTCCCCCTTAGTTTTGTTACACTACAGGGCACCAACAAAGCAAAGCAATTTAAGCATATGCTTAAATGGTTTCCTGAATGGAGTCTTATAATCTTAGTTGCAAAGAACAGTTGGGGCTACCAAATGTTTTTCTTTGTCAGTTTAGTGGATGGTAATGCTATTAAATAATCTGGATAAATCAAAACTATTTGGGGGTATTACTTGGGTAAATATGGCTTTTAAAAGGACTTTAAGTTAACAGGCTCCAAGACACCTTCTTTTTTTTTCCATTTTTCTTGTTTTTTAAACTACGGCAGTATAGGCTAGGGCTCAGCAAGTAGGTGCATTAGTAGTACAGGACAGCTAACTTATCACGGCTCAGTCTCTCAAAAAAGATGACAGAACAGACATGATTTCATGTAGATTTCACAGAAAAACATGTCTGGATCTTACAACTTTTCAGTCACTGAAATATGAAATTAAGAATATATACTGAAATGGGAAACTAGTTTTCAGCATCTACTTTTGGAAATAAAATTAAATTAAACAATGTTATAAATGACTAACAGTCAGAGTTCCTTGTAATTATCAAACAAAATCACTGGAACAAACTTCTGCACACAAAGCGCCATTATGTTTTCAGAAATATTACATGCAGGATGCAAAATGAATGACAAGTCATTTAAGCAACGGTGACCCATTTGTTGGTCTTTTGCACATAAAAGCTCACAAGAGGAAATAAAGCGTCACAGCCAAGAAAGCAAGAATTGGCATTTTCGGCAACCCTTCAGATGGCCAACACATTAATCATTATTGCTGTTAAAAACAGTATGCTCGAGAGGTGGAATAAGACTTTTTTTTACTTTTGACAACGAAGTGCTTCATAAATTATATACAACACTCAAAATAGAGTCTTTGAAAATGGAACATTCCTTTCTCCGTGGCAGAAGATGGAAGTCATGAAAAGTTCACCGACTTAGGGAACTAGACCTCAGGTCACACAGACTGGTCTTCCTTCACATCTTCACCATAGCACATGCTCTCCACATAGTATTTGGCATTTCTAAAAGTTTACCTAAAATAAAAATGTAAGTTGGGCATATCCCTTCTACGTTCTCGTATTTTGTCTCAGCATTCCTCTCACAGCTCCCTCCCTTGACACCATGGCAGCAGGGACCCAAGGAGCCGGCAGCTGGTGGCCAGAGGTCTAGCTCCCTGTCCACGGGCAGGAGGAACGCACTTGGGATGAAGGATCTGACTGGCTAAAAATGAGGCCATGATTCACATTTGGGCTTTACCTGTTAGCTAAGGACCACGTTTCTGCCAATCAGATTGCAGGATCCACAGAGAAAGAATTATCATTATCCATCTAAATATTAAATTATAGCAGCTCACCACTTTTCAAGACTACTTCTGACATTAATCTTGACCGAACTTGGCACAGGGCAGAAAGGAGCTTCTAACCTAAACCATGAACCCTTCCAGTCCAGATCACTGTACCCAGGCACAGGTCAGACTGATCCCATACCGCATGCCCCAGGCACATGAGGAAAGGCTCCATTAAACAAAACCCTAACACAAACTGGCAACAACAAATGGTCTGAATTTAAGTATCAGAATACACTGCAGGGAGGAACCTTCAAACATCTTTATGTTTATTAAGGACAACCAGACAAAAACATGTATTTTATTTCCACCGCTTAAGTCATGGTAAGAAGTACAGTAGATCGTCAGAAGAAAACTAATTTCCTTCTACAGGCCACACTAGCAAGATACCTTCAGCTTGTCTTTGGATATAAATTCTCTCACATTTGTTTCAAATCACTAACTTTTGAGAACCAATTGTATTAAAATTCCAAAAAATCAAGTGACACTCTTGTATCAGAATGTTTTATTAAAAATTTGTCAAAATTTGTTAATACTACTATTGGAAATGCCTTAGTATATTTCAGATGATACAGTAGAATTCTTTATTGTAAAACAAAAATTATATTTAGAAAATATATGTCTACTTCACTAGAAGTCTGATGTACAAACACCAGACATGGCATACTCATGTACTATGAATGAAAGTTCATGCAAGTAATCTGAGGATGTACAAGTAATTTTTCCTTAGTTGCTGAAAGAAACAATACATTATTTCTTAAGAGCTTCGGCAACGTTCTTAGAGTAATTTTACAGTTTACACATCCCAATTGATTCAGGATCAAAATAAATAACCACCACTTGTTAGTTGTTTCAAAACACAATAAAGCATTGAAGGAAGCTGGGTTTTACTATGCCCTCTGCAAGATGCAAAGCGCGTTAACTGTGATTTGGGAAAGGCCAGAGGCACAATGGCACGCAGTGAAGGCAGTATCTTACATTTTACACAATTTCACCTAAACTGAAGCACAAAGTTCACTTCCAGAAACTGAACTATGATAAGGTGTAAGCTGCATAAGCTGATAAAGTGGTAACGCTGAATAATAAAGACCCATTTTGAAAAAGAACTTAATAACAACTGTTGCATCCAAGTGTTTGTGACTTTTAGGTTATACCCAGAGAAAAACCTGGAAAACAAATGCTGTTGAATACAACCACCACTGGGAAAAGCAAGCTTAACCTTTAAACTGCATGAAGCTGGAAGAGCTGGGGAAGGAAAGAACATTCTTACAGATTTTTTCCTTTAAAAAACAGAGTCAAACACTCTTGTCGGGTGACTGAAAAAAAAAAAATAAAAATCAAGGGTTGAAATAAGTAGTAAGAGGACAGAAATTCCTATCTAAGGTAAGCTTCCATATCCCAAAATCTTTTCATATAGCAAAAATTAGGACACTGAAGTAACTTCTCATGCCATTCTCCTTTTTGGCATCTCAAAATCAGGAAAAAAAAAAAATAATATATATATATGTATATGGATGCACTTCGAAAAAATATAAAAGTGTGATTAATCACCTGCATAGTACTACCAAAGAGTAAACAGAAATACTGTTTTAAAAAGCACATCAGACTGCTAGCATCACAGCTATCTACTGAAGATATGAAAGCTTTGCAGCAGATTAGAATGAATATAAATTATCTAAATTCCGAGTCTGTATTTGCTCCTGCAATGCAAAAGTAAGTTATTATTGGTTAAAAGTCTACACTATTAAACAAAAACTTCCGAACATTACAAGTTAATTCCAAGTTATAGCTAGAATGCTTTTAACTAGTAATTTTCACATGTGTGCACTTACAGTATAACATAAGATTGCCTAAATCATGAACAAGCTCCAGTTGTTCTCCTTTCAACTTAGCATTTCCAAGAACATTTTCTACACTCTCCCAACCCCTGGTGTTCTAAAAAACACATACTGCTATTCCTATAAAACAAATTATAGTTTCTTCCACTCCAGCCTAGACTTTTAGCAATACCACTGTGAATCCAAACTGCCTATTGACATCTTGCTTCTAGTTTCACAGTACACTAATAAGAAATATTTTAAGAAACCCCACAGTGCGAAATAATATTGCTTTTTCAGAAAACACATAGATCTATTTAATGCTTAGTGCTTTGCTGCATCTATATGGTAATCCATTATAGCACACTTGAAATAGAAATTAGGTATTACTACTGATCAACACATCAGGGTATCTGTCAGTTCTTTTAACTGATTATCCATAGTTCTTTTTCTTCTAGACTTCCTGCATGACTAGGAATAATGTTAAGTTTAAATCTTAGTTTACACAGGATGCTGTTTTTTGAAAGATATATCTGTCTCTTTTATCAAAGTAAAATAAAAAATACCGAGGTTTGTATGTCAACAGATTCACTTTGACTTAAGCAATACTGAAATTTCTTTTTAAAAGTCTTTTATTTTGCCAACTTTGTTGAATCATATCACGACTGGCAGCTTTGTGCCTATTATCGCGTGCTGCGCTACCCTGTTGCAGAATGTAGAGAAAGCTAAGGCTGTTATCAAACCTTACACCGAAGATCCCTACGGCCTGAATGTTTTCCAGCTTAACTTACACAAAAGTGAGATGATAAGCATTGTTGTTCTGCCTTCCAGAGCTGCAAGAAGCTGTTCTGTAACACGCCATGCAGAGTCTCTTATTAAGCACAACAAAAACAAATGTGTTCTTGCTGATTGAACATGCTCTCAGAGGCAATGTCAATGACAAGTTCAGAATAATGTTCATTCCAGGAGAATGGATTCTGAGGAAAAAAATTGCTTTTTCAATACAACCTGCACATGATAAGGAGCTTCTATTAGTCAGTGGCAGGTGGATCTACTTTAAGCCAAGTCAAATGTAGAATAGTTCTCCTATGCCTCTATGTTCAAGTACTGTTCGGTGGTATCTCCACAGGAGTTTCAGAGT